TTTTTTTTTGGTTTTTGGTTTTTCTCCGGTACCAGGAACCGAACTCACGACCTTGCGCTTGCCAGGCAAGCGCTTTTGCCGCTGAGCTAAATCCCCAGTCCCCTTTATCATTTTTCTTTCCTCCTTTTCTGATGATACTGTGAACATGACTATAACCAGTGATTCTAACCAATCACAAGTCATAGTATAAATGAAGAAGTGTTACGGTTTGAATCTGTGTGTCCCCTCAAAGCCTCAAGCGGCCAGGCTTGAGGGGCAGGCTTTTAGAGTTTGGTGGGTGTGAGAGCTACACCTGCCCTGGGGTGGATAGTTTGCATATGTGAAGGAGAGGAAAAGGGTGCTTGAGGCGATTCCTCCCCCATTTCGCCCTGGTATGTGGTTGTTGGTTTTGCTGTGTTCTGCCGCCCTGAGCTGTAGCCCTCTGCCATGTGTCACTCTGCCTTATAATCTGTCAAGTACGGACTGAAACTTCCATGAACTGTAAGCGAAAATAACCTTTCCTTCCTTAATTTTGGGCGTCAGGTATTTTGTCCCAGCAGCGAGAGAAAAGTAACCAAGACAAGAAGGTACCTGTCAACCTATCTTATCTGAGGGCGTACTTCAGGAACTGTTAATTGATACTCTAGGTACAGACAAGTGACACATTTTACCAAAGACTTAGTCCTCTCTCTCACTTGATTTTTTTGTGTCTTGTTGAAGTAGTTTTCAGGCATAGCAACATGGGATGGTATGGATAAAGAAATGTGTGTGGACTGATGGCAGTCTGAAAATCACCAGCTGGAGTGTCAGCATCATGGAGTAGATTCATCTTGCTACCTGGCTGATGTAAAATGAAAACCTAAGGTACTGTAATTACCAAAAAGGACTTCACAACTGAATGAATTTAACTGTTTAGATCAACAACACTTGATCACTAAACATCTCTAGTTTCTAAATGTAGGTGTACTGTCAATAACAGGCTGTGAGTTTCAGGAGTACCCAAGAAACTTTAAAAAACAGACCCTTAAGCTTTAACCACAGCGATTCTGATCCAGCTGTGGGGTGAGGTCAGGAATCTGGATTTCTGAAATGCTCCCTAGCATTTCTGATGTATATCCAGACTACAGATGTTGGTACTAAAAACCCCATTTATAGGTGCTAATTTGTTGCTAAGGTAACAGGCAGGGGTATAGAATCATCAAATTTTAGTACTCTTACGACATTTAGAGAACGCAAATTTCTGTACCCCCTTTTGCTGTTAAGAAGAGTCCCGATTAGTTCACAGTTATGACTAGATCTTTTGCCTTACAGCACTGCTATTATATGTCTTCTACTGTTCTTTACTTATATAGTAAGTTCTTTAAGTTCTTTACATTACACAGATGATATATATATACATAAATTTTATTTTAAAGAGAAAAAAAAAAATTTCAAAACAAGGTAATAGGAAAGTAACCACGGTTAATAGATTGTGTATTGTTATCTTTAAACTACTTACTCACGGTACAAGATTTAGGCATTTACCTGTCCAAACAATATCAGCACAAACCATTCTTTTCAATGAACTAAGAGAAATTAGTAGTATAACTATCTTAACTATATTGTGTGTGTGTGTATATATACATATATTTTTTTTTTGCTTTTTCCTTCCTACAGATATATTTTAGTTTGCCTAAAAGTACTCTACTTTTTCTACTGTATTGTAACCTGTAAGAGTTGATGAAGTCCTATTCTGGATGCCTGCTGAAAGAAGAGGAAAAAAAAAAAATATATATATATATGACTACAGAGAGAATAGGGAACTTGTTTTGGGACAAACAGGGAAAACCAGTCAACCTCT